CTCACATCAGTGATTTCCTCTCTCTCCCCCAGCCCTCTAAAATCAATAAATATAATCTTGGGTGAGGATTAAAAAGGAGGAGGAGGAAGAAGAAGAAGGGGAGAAGAAGAGGGAAGGAGGAGAAGAAAAAAGGAGGAGAAGGGGGGCTCCTGGTGGCTAAATTGGCTAATTTTTTAAAAACAGAACTAAGACTGCAGGGACAGGCCTGAACTGAACTGCCTGTGCTGAGTTGCCTGAGCTGTGTTCCTGCCATCTGAGCCAGCCCTTGCAAAGGAGCTCCTGGAATCCTATTTCAACCAACAGGGCTGAAGTTTCCTCATCCAATTGGAGCTGCACAGCTCTGACCAATCAAAGTAGCTCTATTTTAACCAATCAGAACAGTGCTTTTTTGGACCAATCAAACTGTGAGGATTTGGGGTCTTCATTTGCTTGAGGATGGAGGAGTCAGAAATGTGTTTCCAATGCCAAAACTACCCAAGATGATTACTGATTCATGTCAAAAGTGTTTGCCTATGGCCTTGTTTGCTTCCCCTCTTTTACCAGTCACCCTCATAGTCCTTTGCATTATTGGCAAGTGACTCCATGTTCAGGTTGAGAAGGTAGCATGGAAAAAGGAATGAATAGATAATTCTACATGAGGCCAGTGTTTCTTGCCATTCAGTACACTATCTAAATTTCCATTCAAATAGTATGATACAGTGCAAGCTATTAGTTAATACTGTAGGGTCAACAAGGTATGTCACCTCATGCAAGGACCATCCATCTCATTGATGAGATGCAATTCATGCATCCCAGACAATTCAAACCAGCCATAAGATAGCATGCAGGCAAGTGCCAAATGAATTCGAAAAGAAAAAGAATTTGAAAAGAAAGATTGATTAAGAACTATTTGACACAAAGCCTAGAGTATGGCTGAAATTAGTAAATATTTCCCTATCAATGTTGATGAGAACAAAAATAACAATAGAGTATAGAGTGGGAGTCAGAAGGAAAGTGGTGTTTGAGACCACTCTGTTCTAAACTGGAGGAAGAAAATTTTCTTTAGTTTCCTGGAAGAGCATTTGAAAGGATTATTCTCCCACTTGAGGTTATCTCATTGATTCTATAAAACCACAAAATAAGCAGAGCTGCAAACTTTATCTAGATTCCTGGAGTATTTAAAAGCTACTGCACATTTCAAAAAGCAGCTGAGAGAGATTCAAAGGAGCACAACCAACCTTAAGTAACCTGTCTTCAGTGACTGAATCCTTGTTCTTCCATGGAGCATCTATGGAATCAACTTTTTAATATCAGGGGTTTAGTTCCTTTATCTGTAAAAAGCAAATAAAAATCCTATCCTCCAGAATTGCTGTATTTAGTATGTATCATAACAGGGAGTGATTAGCACCTGTTATACCTACTGAACCGCCATTGAATAAGGAATTAATATTTAGATACAAATGCTTTTATTTTTTTCTTAGCTTGCACTGTCTTTATTTCCTTACGTGCAAATACTTTATACTTAGACCAAATCAATAGTGTCATTATCTTTAACTTCAAGTAGTTTGTATTTGAGCCTCGAGGCTTAAGAAATGCCAAACGCATTTCAGTACTGTCTGAAAACATGAATAGTTAGGTAACACAAAGAAAAGAATGAGTCCTGTTTATAGCATGGCCAGCAAAGTGGTTCATTGAAAAAGTTTTGTGATCTAAAGACTTTTTCCAAAAAGTAGTATCGGGGTCCCTCTATAATAAAAATCACAGTGCAGGGGACAATTGATATATTTGACTATGTTTCATCTTTAGGGGAGTTTATATACTTTTGTATAATTGTATCCATACGACTAAAGGCAGGCATATGGCCTTGGACTCACCAGTGTGGCACTTTGAAATTTCTATTGGGAAGCCAGTAACATGAAGCAGCAAAAGCCAGAAAAACATGTGGCCATTGTAACAGACTCAGTTTATATACTCTCCCCAGATTTATTCAGCTATGCTGTGACACTATAAAAACTACATTTGGTCTTTGTCCCTGGTAGACACATGCCTACTCCAGAGGGTTTAAATTTGGGGGGCACAGATCTTCAAAAACCCTTGGCATTTCCTGAATGATAGATAAAAGTTCCCTTTTTTGTTCATAATGAACCCTTTTCAACTACATCTGAGTTTATACTAGCAAGGTGACTTTTGGCTGGGCCTACAGATATGTTCAGAATGGGGGCTAGTTTCCAGAAAAAAAAATGAATGATATGATTAGAATGTTGGAATTTCAGCCCTACCCCCTGCCCCCCCTGAGAGGAAAAGATGACTAGAGATTGAGCTCAGTCATTGATCAACCCAACCATGTCTACGTAGTGAAACCTAGATTAAGAACTGAACAGCGATGCTTCCTGGTTGCTGAATGTATTAAAGTGACGGGAGGGTAGCATACCTGCTGCCACAGGTAGCAAAGCTTGCCCAAACCTGGGGTCATGTGTCTCTTCTCTTTGACTGCTCTTGAGTTGTATCCTTGACAATAAAGTTGTAATTGTAAGTACAGCACTTCCAGTGAGTTCTGTAAGTCTCTCTAGAGAATTATCAAACCTGAAGGGGGATCATGAGAACAACGTGTAGATGGCTGACCAGAAGTGTTGTGTGGGCCGTGGACTTTGGTCTGATATCTCAGGTGAAGACAGTATTATACAATTGAGCCCCTTAACCTATGTGATGCTAATTCCCTAATGAATAATGTCAGAATTGATACTTTGCCCTTAACTTGTGGAATTTGTGCAAACTCTAGGCAGTTAGCACCAGACTTGAATTGAATTGCTGTTGGGAAATAAATGCTTCTTCCAGAAGTTCAGATTCTTGCCTCGATTCCTGGCTGGAGCAGCACCAACTCATGTTGTTCCTGCTTTATCTACTCTCTCTGCCTTTCCCAATGGAGGATGCTGGGCTCCAGCATGACCTGCATTTCTCCCATTGTAACTAGTGCTGCAGCAGCTCCAGGCCCCAGGTCCAAACCTATCAGACCCATGAAAACTTTGATTTTCCTATTGATTGCCCAGAGGATCCAGATAATACAGCCCTGGTGTCTCATGGGATGACCTTTCACCAGAGAAGGAACCAGCAGATAAATCACCCCTCTTCCCTGCCACCAAGGAATGTTGCAAGACATGGTCTTGATCCCAATTTTTCCAGAGAAATCCCATGTACCCGAATAACCACTGAAGGTGTGTGTGTGTGTGTGTGTGTGTGTGTGTGTGTGTGTGTGTGTGTGTGTGAATTGTAACCATCTCAATAATTCAGTACTTTCCTGTTTTTCTTCTCTTTTGTCATTGGTCTTGCTTCTCCAGTATTGCACCCACCCCTAAATTATTAGCATATGATGACCTTTGCCTTGGGTTCTGTTTTCTAGGGAAGCTGGAATAGAACAGAAGTGTAGCTAGCAAAGTCCTGTTGTTAAAGGAAGCCGTGGCTGACGGCTTGATGGCAGCTTTCCATGTGTGTTGTCTGCAACGTAACCTGCAATACCTGTGCCCACCTCAGAGGCAGGATGGGCTCTGATGGAGTCATCTGGAAGTATATTGGGCATGGTCCCTGGTTCTACAACCCACAAGCATGTGTTTAGGCCCCTCCGGGTGATATATTTGTAGCTCAAAAATCCAAGCATTATTATCAATCAAAACCTTCCTATTTTAGAGGTACTATATATCTTTCCTTCTACTATATAATGGTAGTGATGACTGATGACCAGTATGTTTGCTTTTAAAAATGCCTTTATTTGAAAAAGGAAAAATTACCCTGATGTTCTAAAACAAAACAAAATAAATAAACAAAAGAAAAAATAAAGAACATGTTTATGAAATTCAAAACTCTTGAAACCACTGGGGTGTCCCGAGTAGAGGACAGGATCCTAGCTCTCCATTCTGTGGCTTTGATTTGACCCAGATATAAGACCCATTGAGGCTGTTCTATTCTATGACAATGAAAAGAAGTAATTAATTGGGGGCTTAGAGACTGCTGGTGAACCAGAGGAGGTGACTAGGTTTCTCTTGTTAGATGCTCATCTGGGACACAACAGGGACGTTACTCACTAGATTGAGACTCAGAAAAAAAATGATAGAAATCATCTCTCACACAGTTGCTACCTCTTTTCCTAAGTTTTTTTTTTTTTTTGCCATGACCCTGATTTTATTAAAAATGGTCAAATAGCAAGAACTTTACTTCTATATAAAATACCCTGCAACACAACGCAACTGATAGAAAGCTTACAACTTAAAATGGACTAAGAATCTGGGGCAAGAGGAATAAAAAAAACAGTATACTTTTAAATACGTTAAAACAGAATGTAAATTTTTATAAAAGCAGTTTGAGTAATGCCTAGATAACCTCATGTAGATTATTAATGAGGTACAACGACATTCATAAAAGAACCAATGAATATAATACATAGAAACATTTATCTATAAGTGAAGAAATAAACAGCAAAACACACAAAATTAATCAGTCTGGCAACGTTGAAAATAATTTGGATTGTAGAGTAGGCAAAACATATTGCTGGTAAATTTTTTGTTGTCTTGTAAAAGGCAATTTAGAAATACTTTAGTGTTATGTCAGTTAATGTAATTTTGTCCCAAAGAAATTATTTCAAATTATTTGAAGAACTATCATAAGATTCTTTAATAGTGCAAAATTATAAATAAGTTTGAAACACAATAGAGATGTGTTAAGTAGACTGAAATAGCCACAATGTAAATAAAATCACCCAAACAGATGGGCTAATAAAATATAACCAAGTATTATATATAAAAATTAAAAAGTCACTTATAATCTTAACTATGTGTAAGAAAATGTGTACATATCCATAAGAAGGAAAAAATTAAAGCAATTCTCAACTATTGATTTATTTCCAAGGGTTAGGATTACAAGTAATTCTGCTTATGGTTTTTAAACAGGATTCATCTACACATGTCAAATTTGCTATCCTTTCTGAGTTCAGGCCCTTCTATCCAAGTAATGTATCGGCCATAATAAATACTTTATTTGGAACTGGAACTTGAAATAGTTCTCCCTTTACTGCCTGACCTCCTCCTACCAGGATTCCTATGTCTAGAGAAGCTAATGCTGTGACTCTGATGGCTCCGGCCACCTCTACTCAGGCTGCCCTGACTACGGCCACAGTCCCTTCTTCTTTCTCTGCTTTGTGAACTGAACCTTTCATGGTTTTCTGCCATGTATTTGTGAGATTTCTTCTCCCTATGATTACTCTTCCTCTGGGTGGGACTGGGGCTTCTCCTCTTCCCGGGCCTGCCATAGTACTCATCGTGGTGGCCCATCCTCCCTGAGTTCTTGTCAGAGGAAGAGTCGGACCGATCTGGAGATGTGTGCATGTCCCTATTAGCTTCCCAAAATTCATTGTTGGGATTTCTGAACACATGAAGAAAGTTGCAGTATTTTCCTCTTGGGCATTGTTTTCTTTCAAATAAACCACAAATTGCCGCTTTCCACCGGGTCACTGGGCAGAATTCACACTGAAGCTGTCGCCCTGCATACCATCGTCCATTAAACAGAGAAAGGGCTGCTTGGCATTCTTCTTTCGACTGATACTGAACATACACATTGCCCCTCAGATGAGGTTCGAAGTTGCAGCTCACCTTGAACTGGACCACCTTCCCCACGTTCTTGAACTCAGGAAGCACATCCTCATAGAAGTCCAGGAACTGCTGGTAGATCTCCTCTTCGCTGTACTCTAGACTGGCCTCGGGGTCATAGTCATCCCTTCTGCACTGCTCCATTCCGAACGTTGTAAACATGCTTCTAATGAGGAGCGTGGGGCTCGATGTTGGGAAATTGTGTTTACGTGAACACCTGTCTCCGAATCTGCAAGCTCCTGTTTTACTGTAGAATGGGCAGTTAATTTGATCTTTCTCTGTTACTCTTAAGCACATGGGTGGTTCTGGGTTTTGCCAGGTGGCAGCACTTTTCAACTCTTTTTCCCTCTTCTCCTGTAGCTTCTGCTCCTTCTGTTCTCTTTCTCTTCTCTGATATTCTTCCCTTAACTTTCTATCTTGTTCTTCTTGCCATTTTCTAGTGGCCTCTTCCTTCTCCTTCTTTATTCTGAATTCTTCTTGTGCCTTCTGTTCCCTGAGCAACCATTCTTCATGCAAGCTTTGACTCTGCATCTCCAACAGCTTTTCTTTGTTTAGTTGTTCTTCAATAGTGTCCTCCTCTTCCCTTTGTGACATTTCTGAGTCTCTTAGTCGGGCAGCTTCCTGCCTTTTTTTCTTTCGTTTTTCTTTTTTCAGGAAGGCCCTGTTCTTTTTGTGGCTCAGTTTCTCCAGAAACATCTTGTTAGGAGCTGCCATTTACATACACCACTGTAACTTCAAGAGGAGGACGGGGTCTCTTCTTAAGTTTTCTGTGTAGAAGTCACTCGCACTGCAAAATATCAGATAATCAGGTCATCTGTATCAAATGTTAATAGGACAATATATTTACTGAGTCCATATCTTCCAGGGTTCTCTGGTAAATGACACTGTAATTGTTTTGTTTTACTTGTTTGTTTTAGAAAAGGAATTGTTGGGGAACCAGCCCAGAGAAGACAGGCTTCTAGCTACAGTGAAATGAAGAGATGGGCTAATACTCTATCTCACAAAAAAGCATTAATCTGAACAAAATTTTTGAAAAGATAACCATTTCAGTTGTTGGGAAATTGACCAAAGCAAAAGTAAATGATATCTTTAAAGATGTTTGTTCAGGGAATGTGCCAGGGTTTCAGGCAAGAACAGTGGGAATTTTCCGCCTTCTTGTTGGGAGCTGCACCTGCCTACTTCCCAGCCCCCGCTCACTCAGTGACAGAGTATTACCAGAGTGGGACGAGTCACAAAACCCACAGGCCTGGTAGTCTGATGCGATTTATAACAGATAAAGTGAATCCACCCCTGGCAGTGTTGTCAATAAAAGTAGTAAACTGAGTAGACAATGAAAGTGGAAAATTCGCAGCTCTGTTAGCCTGAAGTTACAGTCTGTTGGTGGGAATGATGGACCAAGCATAAGTTAAACAATGGGATCCTAGAAAAAGTCATAGAAGGGGTGTGTAAGCTTTCACACATCTCATCTTCATACATGTGTAACTACTGGCATGTGCAGGGGAAATCAGAAGGTAGATGCTGAGGCAGGCTTCACTAAAGCCAGAACGTTGAATGCACTTCCCAGATAGGAGGGGGTGGGCGCCTTAGGGATGGAACATTTAAAGCATAACATACCCCACCCCCACGTCTGGCTGACCAATTAGCAAATAACTAAATAAACAAATAAACATTAATCAGAGTAGAAACATCAGTGGCTACACACCTTTGGAGAAAGAGATCCCACATAATAAACCCAGATGGTTAAAAATTTGCTACAAAGGAAAAATCAGAATTCGTATTTGCTACAATATATTATCTCAAATGTCAAGCTTTCAACAACAAAAATATTGAAATGGAATATTACTTAGTCATAAAAAAGAAGAAAATCTTACCTTTTGTGACAGCATGGATGGGCCTGGAGAGTACTGTGCTGTGTGATATAAGCCGGTCAGAGAAAGACAAGTACCATATGATCTATCTCACTTATATGTGGACTCTTACAAATAAAATAAACTAACAAAGTAGAAACAGACTCATATGAGACACAGAGAACAGACTGACAGCTCTCAGAGGGGAGAGGTGCTGGGAGGCTGGGTAAAAAGGGTAAAGGGATTAGGCAAAAAAATAAGTAAATAAAACTCATAGACACAGACAACAATATGGTGGTTACCAGAGGGACAGAGGCTGGAGAGAAGGAGAGGTAGAATAGGACAAAGGGGGATAAATGGTGATGGAAGGAGACTTGACTTTGGGTGGTGAACACATAATACAATATACAGATGATGTGTTATAGAACTGTATTATATAATTTCGTTAACCAATGTCACTCCAATAAACTCAATACAAATTTATGTATATACATATATAGAGACAGAGATATATAGATAGAGATTTAAAGAACCAGGAAAGTGTAAGTCTTAGGAAAAAGCAGTCAAATGTTGGCATTAATAAAAAAGTATCAATATATTTTTTAAAGTATCAAACAACTATAATAAATACAGTGCCTTCAAACAATTAAAGACAACTATAATGATAATGTGAAAACAAATAGCACTCAGCACTCTTATCTTAGTTTCTAATACCATTCTCCATTAAAAGAAAGCAAGAACCCTTGGAAAAGTGGCTGAGTCTTGGAATACACAAGATGAGCCTGGAGAACTCATAGTGTGAGAGTAAGAAAGTACTCAAAAATAAAAATCTTAGGGATTCTAAGTTCACACTCATCCTCCAAAAATTTATTAGAAGTTCGTGTTTTCTTCTTATACACAGTTTTGACTGTTTTCTCTGTCAAAGACAGAGACTGTTTTCCTCTCTGACCAAAGAGGAAAAAAAACATGGTTTCTGTTTCTCTTAGGAGGAATTTGTCCACTTTGAGATTTTAGTTAATTGGGTTACTTTGCAATCTCAGTTCTCTGGCATGCTTACAATAGTTTTGTAAATTATCTGGCTCTTTGGTGGGAGCAAGACTCTCTTGTGACTTTTCACATTTCAAATAATGATGAACTCCCTATAAATATTCGAAGCAGTTCTCAAACTTTTGTGAAGTGATCTTCTAAGATTATGTTGTGCAAGTTTTCCTGCTAGAATCTCCTCTCCATTCATTTTCTTGGAAATTCCTAGTACTTCAAACCTTTAGTAACCTGTCACTTCTCCTGAAACGTGTAACTTGGGTTGCTCAGCCTCACTATGAACATCTGGAGCCAGAAACTCCTTTGTTGTCAAATTTGTACTGTGCATTGTAGGATGTTTAGCATCATCGCTGCTCTCCATCACTAGATGGTAATTGCACATCACTCTACCTCTCTAATTGTGACAACTAAAAATGTCTCCAGACATCCTCACATCCTCAAATGCAGAGAATCACTCATATGCCTTAATCCTTTCTCTGGGGTTAGTTAGGGTGAGGAGTTTTTCTTTTTGGTTTTGTTCTCATTATTCTGTATCTACCTGTTATATTGTCACTTATTATATTTTCTTATATTTGCCTATTCTCTCTCTCATATACACTTGAAAAATAATTATTTAGAATCCTCTGATGAACTCATCCTCTAATGAGTAAGGTAAATGTTGAAAAGTGGGGAGGTGGGGAGTGTTAGTGGGTGAGATGATGCAAATAATTTGGAGAAACTAAAAAGTAACTAAAGGTCTTTGTGTAAGAAAAGGGAAAGATATAGAGGAAGGGATATGTGTGCATTTATGAGTACATGTGTGTATGTGTGTAGTCATGGAAGTGTGATGGGAAGGAGATAGCCATCCATCCTGGAGAAGATGGGTTGAAGCTGGAGAGCTGAGAAAGATTAATGGGAAAAAAGGTTGTGAGGAAAATAACATTTTATAACTGAAGTGATAATTTGGGGTAAATTAAAGTGGTCTAATCAGATTTCTTGTTGAGTTCTCCATGTAGTGCAAAATTGAGCATTCTCTTCATTCTACATGAAAAATCTCTATCATTGTGGTGTTGATTTTTCTTTATAAGGTTACAAGGGAAGTGCCAAGTCCTGCTTTGAGGTAAACAAATATCGATAACAGTCCCAGGTAGGAGGGGTGTGTGTATTATACAGTCACCTGTTCTTATTTGTTTCATATATTCTTTCTGCTCTCTGTGCTGCTTGAGTCCAGGGTGTATCCCTAGTATGGAGCAGAGCTCGTGGCATGTGGTAGACTCTCAATATTTTTTTACAGATACATAGATGATAATTACCTTACCTTTCAGGGCTGACCAAATGGCCAGTGAATATTATTGTTCCAGTTTGTGAGTAAAAGAAATAGCCTGGCCATGTGGTCTGGGGAAAGGTCTTTCTGTGTAGTTCTCATCCTTCAGTGTCAGGTGGGAAATGGTAATCTTGAGATATGAAGTAAGAGTGAAAGAAGAAGGAGGAGGAATAACACTTATTGAGAATTTACTGATACTTTTCTAAAATTTAGGGTTGAAAGATGCAATAGAAAGTGTTAATAATATTGTTAATGTCAGTAATTATTTCTAAGACATTCAAATTTCACAAATGTTTAAATCTGAAATAAAAGCTAATATTAGAATAGTAAATATGGTACATGGCATGTGCTCTTCTGAGTGATTTTAATACGTTAACTCATTTCATCCTTATCACTCCCCTATGAGGAATCTTATTACTAGATCGCAGAAGGGCCATGAAGTTTGAGTCCTTGGTTCATCCCAGATTATGATTTCCTTGAAAAGCCAAACCCCTCAGATATAATGATGGATCCTTTGGTAATTCTGGTAGAATACTGTTTCTGAAAAGATTTAAGGACCGAGCTGATCAAAAGGATTTCAGAAAGAATGAGTGGCTATGAGCCTAAGGACCATGTTCTAAAAATCTAAATGGGGAAGAATAAATACGTGGATGTCTCATTCAAAAGTATTTCACCATGTTGACATAACTCATAAATTGTGAAGCAGGAATCAATTAAACATTTTAAAGTGCAGAAAAGGCTTTCTTCACTGGCCAGTGGTTTGAATGTGTACCATGCTCTTTGAATACTAAGCAACAGCAATTTCCCTTTGCTCTGTGGCTGTGGACAGAGAGGGACATTTCAATGAGGAAGGGAGCGATGGTGGCAGGGTGGGGCGAGCATAGAGCTTGTCATTTCTGAGATGACAGACATCTCAGCACTAGAAGTCTTCCCTTTCCTTCCCTCTCTACCTTTACCCCTACCCCAGGATAGCTTGGAAACATTGTGCTGAGGGTAGGGGGTCAACAAAGACAAACAAGGTTATAGAGATGCAAGAGAGAAAGCAGACTAGGGAGATGTGGCCATCTGAATGCAGAAACTGAGCAGGATGTGGATTTCAAGTGTGGATTCTGGAGCATGACAGCTTACATGCAAAACCTGGCTCCATCAGTTGGCCAGCTGTATAACTTGGGCTAGCTACTTTGCCTCCCCAAGCCCCAGCTCTCTGATCTGTGAAACATGGATAATAATACTGTCTGCCTTATTGGGATGGTTGTAAGGATTGTTAACCTACTGCACAAAGTTAAGAGCAAGGTAAGCATTAGCTATATAGTTAGTCTGAGACTTAAAAAAATTAGCATACCTCTTGACAGATAGATATATAGATATTAGTATATAGAGAGGTATTAGCACATATTATATATTAGCACCTCTCTTGATATATAGATATTTATTTATACATATATATATAATTCTGTGGGTATTGCTGATCAGTGGTTTATATAATCAGAAAAGGAAAGTAGGTAGCTAGGTGCAAGAGAAAA